TGAAGTAATCCGGGAGCGGGGCGGGGCGGGGCAGCAGGCCAGCGTGGGCGCATGGCGCTTGCTCGCACGTGTTTGTGGTGGCACTTCCTTTTTTGCCACGTGTCACCTGCAGCATGCGCCACTTTTCTGCCTCGTTTTCGGTGCGAAATACCCAAAAAACACCGAAAAAAACCCGTTGTCGGGTTTGCTGCTTTTCCCCCTGTGCGGGCTGCTGGCCAGCTGTACGGGGTGGTGGGAGGGAGCGGGGACCGTTCCCGYTCCGATACCAATGTAGCGGACCCACCAGGTGTGGTGCTCCGCTAGTGGTAGAGATGGAGATGGAAGAAGAAGGGGGGAGCGAGATGGCACAACGCAACTCCCCACGCAAGACTCCAACCCACGTACTCCAAAATGTGCAAGTGAAGAATGAGCTCGAAAACAGACAAAGGCTAGGGTATACCCCAGCGGACTGACGGGACTGGCCTGGACTGGCTGGTACCGACAGAGGTACCGGCCTCGACTGGACTGCCCCGAATAAAACACAGGCCTGTGAGAACAGGCAAAGGGGCTGGTCTCACATGCCCACCGGAGGTCCGGTACAAATGTTGTTGTAATGTAGTTTTGTTGTCGATGTAGTATATACAAAAATTAAAGCCCCAACAATCACATGAAAATGACAATCATTGTTAACAAATCAGAGTTAGGTGGGGTTAGTAGAACAGGCAGGTCATTTGATTACAAGACTCGGGCGAGAAAGCGTCATGGCCGATACGAGGTGGATGGTGGGCCGAGAACCATGGCTGGAGAGAGGGACGATAAAGGTGACAGGTTGGAAAGTGGGGCGATAATAAAAGTGTCACGTGACAGATGGGCGAGAACCGTTGACATGTGACAAAGCATTGCGGGAGAGAGGGGAAGAAAGCATAAAAAACAAAAAAAATAAAAAAATAAAAAAGGAACGAAACCACTCTACGCACTAATAACCCATGAATTGTTAATATATATATATATATATATATATATATATCGTCACAAACAGAACTGCCCGGTAAACCGTAGGCAGAGAGAGAGAAGAGGACAATAAACGAGGGGCTGTGACAAACTGTTTCGTCGGAGTTTCACCGACTCATCAGGAGGCTGAACCCTCAACAGTCTGCAAAATTCCTTCACTGATTACACTGTAAATGATAATATATATGTATGTATATATAATATATATATATAAACCTTTGAAGGAAACACAGTCGTACATCGGTTCACGCCGATCAACACCAACACTCATAACCGTACACTCGGCCACCAACATTGATTGCTTGTCCATCCGGAGAAGGATTGACTGACGGTCGTTAATACCTACGGTAGCAATACAGACTCAAAGACGTATAGGCAGTCGGTCTCATCACCAACAGGCGTCCAGATGACAACGATGCGTCTGGATCTTCAAGGTTGCATTCACATACGGAGACTGCTATGCAAAGCCATGGCAACGTCAATTGTGCTCGATTGTGATATGGGGTGTGAAAGATCTTGCAACCCCAGATCGACACAAATGAGATTCCCGTTCTCATCCAGTTCGAGCAGGACTACGTCATCAAACGATATGTCGCCCTCAAGTAAAACGTTATGGATGACACAAGCAGTTGTGAATTGTTGAGGGAGGTTGTCTATGTTCGTCTTGTGGTGACGAAGGAATAACATGCACATCCCCTTCAATCGGCCAAAAACCCTTTCCACAACTCGTCGTTTTCTGCCATATGTCAAACAAGCCCATATCCTCTGTCTGGTCGCACCCTCTGTAGGGGATGACCATCCACGTCCTTGGAGAGTATCCGTTATCCCCGAGCAGATACCCTGTAGTGGACACCCCTCTAGGAAGTTGCATCAGTTTCGCATTGAATAGTTCGCCCACATTCGCGTACCGAAACAGAGAAGAGTTTTTCAACACCCGTTGGGCATGAACGCTCCCCGGGTACCCCATGAACGCATTGAGAATCCTCATGTCCAGGTCCACGACAACTTGAGCGACGACCGAGAACTGTTGTTTTCGGGCGTGATAGTTCTCGGACGGTGCGTTGGCGGGCTTGTCAACATATACGTACGTGCAATCGATAGCGCCAAAGTAATTAGGGAAGACCTTCGCTCTGAAAGCTCAAGTTACCTGCAACAGTCGATGTCCAGTAAGCATGGCGCCCTTATCGAGATATGCAGCCAATATTGCGTTAGTAACGTCCCTGACAGTCTTCAATTCCGACGACCTTCCGATGTCGAAGCGCAGCCCTAAGGCTGCGGTATAGTGGGCTTCCGCGTCTGTGTCAAGGTGTCGCATTTTTTATGGCGGGCGACCAGGACGCAAAGTGGGTTCTTAGGGGGCAAAAAAATTTGGGGGACCGGTCCTTGCCAAAATTGCAGACTACCTACAACTAGCTCTGGTAGAACCGGGAGTTTTGGAAAAAAGAAGCACCGGTCCTCGGGTGGAAGTGGACCCCCCAAAAAAGTGGGGGGGCGTTGGACCGGTCCTCGGGTAGAAGCGGACCCCCAAAAGAAGTGAGGGCATGTGAACTGCAAAAGGGCCCTCAGGCCTAGGCGTTGAGGCCCGTCTTCTCAAAACAGGGAGGTCAGGTACAACGAAACGAGTGTCTTGCAAGAGGCAACTTTGACGATTTTTTGTGCTCGGACGAACGCCCAGAAAAATTTAAAATTTTGAGAATCCATAGATGAGGCCGTGTTCTTTGCAGGAATAATATTAGAACATTTTCAAAAAATCATTTAGACTGCAAAATAATCGTCGTGCCGATTCGACACATTTTCAATTTTCGCCACTCAGCCATGTGTATGCCAACTAAAAAAGTACTCCAAATTTAGCGAGTTTTCACGCTCAGGGCATACTCACACGGCGACCCCAAATCCGTAAAATATGCAGATTTGGGAAGGGCCGATTTGAGGTTTTGGGCATGGTTCACGTCACACTGATGTACCTTTTCAGATGGGACAAGGTCGCGGCCGTCTGGAGAAATGGGAATTTGGTACTTGGCTGGTCACACGGCACCATCCACAAATTGTGCAAGAACTTTTGTGAACGAAATTTTGCCAATTTTTGAAGAAAATGCAAAAAA